GATGTATATGTCGAATGAATGAAAATATAAGTTCAGAAGATCGAGCTACATTACGTTAATGTTTATACAAGTATGTGTCTCGTTTCCCAATTGAAATAATATCATTGAAATAATCTTACGAGAATCCTTTTACGAGTACACTTTCGTTTTATCTTGACTACTTTTCACTTTGCACTTGCATGGAGGATTACTCGTGTGGATTTCCGCGAAAGCTTTCTTAGTCCAACAGACCAAGGTGCGCGTCTCTGGATCATCCTCTTTAAATATTTCGTCAGCGCTTCCGATACTTTTGGCAAAGAGATCTCATAGGAGATTACATAGGAGTTCCCATAGGATCGATTAAAGGACAGGCAAAATAATAGCGCTACTCAAACCCATACCTAATCGCGATTTTGCACGCTCATAATGATTCATGCGCTCGGGGAGGATGTTATGATGGTCTTCGGATATGATGAACGTACGGTTGCTGCGACCGATAAGGAACGGGAGGAACAACCCTTAGGAATCGTCTCGGGGGAGGGACTGACTGAAATTCTCGTCCGATAATAAAGTCGCCCCGATCGATTCACCGCGACGCGAAACATTTTCCGGCCACAAGGAATCTACCAGAGCCACCCAGGGCGCGTTTGCTTTCACGCTCCGATACACCTTATTCCTTTGATTTTGATTGAATTTCATGCCCGCGTCTATTGCGGCGACTGCACTTTGTAGCGACGCGCTGTCGCTTGTAGATGTGCGATGAAAACGCGATACGATATTAAACTATCTCTACATCTTAAAGATGTAGAACTCCAAGTGTTTTAAAACGCGCGAATAATATTTGGACAGTATGCAAAAATTCAGTGAAGAAAAGATTTGCTTTCGAAAATTCGATAAAAGTAAAAAGAAATTGATTGTTTCGATTGTTTGTGAAAAAATTTAATATATTTGTCACATATAATTTCTTAATTAGAATTAATAATATTTCATTGTTATTGTACAGTTATAAATCTATATGTGCATAGTCAATATATTGCGCGTTATTTGTATTTATCTAATTTTGTTTCTATTGACTCTGTACATTTTCATTCAAATCAGTTGAGAGATAAATTGATTTATTTTAAAATATTCTATTATGAAATATAATTAAACAAAATAACATATTAAATCTTATTTATACCTATGTTGCTCACGGAAATTTGCCAAAAAAGAAAAGAGAGTGAGGAATGAATGCCGCTGCCAAATCGATTTCCACGATATATTACGAGAAAAGGAATAAAAGCATGTTTTGCAGATCTGTGGTTACAGTTCGATGAACGAAAACACGAGTATATTAATGTCCATGAACAA